ACACTTTCCAACCTCCTGGGCCTGCTGCCCAGAATCCTTAGGGGAGCCCTACAAGACCCATTCACATCCCTGACCTACGTTCCCACAACATGCTATGACCAGACAACTGCCACATCATGTTCTTAAAGGGGTAAAAACTGCTGGACAGCTCTTTCCAAAGGAGACTCTGCTGGAATCCAGTGTCCCCCCCCCCCATAAAAATATTTCCTCTTCACCCAAACCACTCACCGAGGCTATAGTGATGGGGGATGACTTCAGGACAAGACATGTCAGGCCCCTGGCCATGATGGGACTTATCCCTCTTCTTGGTCCCTGCCTCTTTCAGTGTTTCTCTAGTTTCTTATAGGAACACATGCAGGCCTTCATCAATCAAAAGGTCACTGAATTCTTCACAGGAGGAGGATATCAGCCTCAGAATCAGCAACCCTCCCCCCCAAGAATACAGCCTCCCCACACGAAACCAATACCCCACCACCTACTTGTTTTACCCACCAACATAAATCTTTTATTTTTTCATATCTTCGCTCATCTCCAGCAGGAAGTAGCTTCAGAAGAATGAGACCTTTGCCCCTTTCCCTTCTCCCTATACTTAAAAGGTGGAAATGATGGATCTTGGATGTGACAGCGCCATCTTGGATGTGACCAGAGCCATTTTTACACACATTGAGCACAAAATGGCCACCAGCCTTTCCCTGATGAGAAACCTCACAGTCTCTGAGAAATAGAAACTCCTCTACTTCCGCGTGGGTGCAGCCTTCCACCTGATTGCATCTGCCAGCCTTATCTTCCACTCCAGCACCAAACCCCTCCCTAAGCTCTCCCACCCCAGGCCTGGTGCTGCCTTCCATTTTGAGTGCCGCCCGACAGATTCTTTTCCTTTAATAAAGCTTGATTGGTACCTGGAATTTTGGCTCACTTTCTTTCACTCCTCATCCTTTAAGTCTCAGCAAAAATGCTTTCTCTGACCATACTGCCCCATTCCTCCAGGGCATTCTAGTTCTTTCCAGGAATCACAGCCCCACAATCCATTGTACCACTGCCATCAGAATACTTACTACCCTGCATCGGGACTCTCCCTTTGCAAATCTATGAGTTTCACCAGAGCAGAAATTGAGGGCACAGGCTGGGGACTCTAATAAATCTGATTGATTGATTGATCGATTGATTGATTTCAATTTTTTTTTTTTTAAAGATGACCGGTAAGGGGATCTTAACCCTTGACTTGGTATTGTCAGCACCACGCTCTCCCAAGTGAGCCACAGGCTGGTCCTTGATAAATCTGATTTAAATCCCTCCTCCAACACCCCCCATCTGTGTGGCTCTGGGCATATCACTCCCCTTCTCTAATCTTCAATGATCTCGTCTGGAAAGCGAAGATGGCAAATCCTACCTGATTGGTTCAGAAGACACTGAAGATTGCCTTTGTCTTACAGTAAGAAGCATTCATTCCCTTCCCTTTTTTATCATGGATCTCTAATGTCCAGCAGAGTTCATACACATGGAAGCACTAGAATTGTCAACCAGTGGCTAATATGGTGATTGATATTTATCAGCACACCCCACACGCTAGGCTCAGTTCATGCACAATCTCAGTGAACACTCATGCACGCTGGGCTGTAGGTACAGACAAGGAGACTGAGAATGTGACAAGGGGAAGTCACTGGCTCTAGGTCATGTTGCATATGCCTGATCTGCTATCCTTTTCTACCCACTCAGATCCCCTCAGATTCCTCATACCAATTCTGTGCACCCAGCTTCTGTGTGTTCTGTGTATTAACCATGCCTTTTTATTTTCTGTATTTCTGGCTCTGCAAGGACTGCCCCTCCCAAAGCTAGCTGAGAATATATTGGAATAAACAGACCAAGGTGCTTTTCTTATCCTCTTACACAAAACAGCACAGAAGACTTCTGTGACCAAATGCATGGAGATTTCTCCCAAACAGCAAGCAAGCAAGCAACCTATTTTGTAGCAGACACCGGCTGGGTGTCCTCCAATTCAGTTCCGACACTCTCTACCTGTAGGTAATGTCAGATCCCACAGGTTAGATGCCAGCTGCAAGCCCCAGGTTTTACCTGTGCTTCTGACCAATGGGTTTTACATAGGGTTCCCATGATCCCCTCCTTGGCTTTGATTAGTTTGCTGAGTGGCTCAAAGAACTCAGGGAAACACTATGTTTACCAGTTTATTATAAAGAATATAGATGAAGAGATGCATAGGGAAAGATATGGGGTGAAGGAGCATGGAGCTCCCATGTCCTCCGCATGTGTGCCACCCTCCAGGAACCTCCACATGTTCAGCTATCTAGAAGCTCCCAGAACCCTGTGATCTTGTGGTTTTTTGGAAGCTTCACTACATAGGTATGATAGAAGCACGGACAATGGTGTTGAAATGTGATTGGACAAAAAGGGTATAATCTTACACTAACAGACTGGGTGGGGCAACTAAACAAGGCCTGTTTCCATACTGGCTAGCCAAAACAAACAAACAAACAAACAAGGCCTCTTTACTCAGGTTCTTCTTGGCCTCTCTGTGCAGCCTTCCTTCCTCCCAGTTATGGGGAGGAACCCCTTCTGGAATGGGGGTTACTATGGTTTGAATGTCCCCCAAACTTATGTTGGAGCTTAATCCCCAAATATCGTATTTGAAAGGCGGGGCCTTTAAGAGGTGATTGAGCCATGATGGCTATACTCTCAGAATGGATTAATTCATTCATGGATTAATGGGTTAATAGCTTAGTGGGTTATCAGAGAGTAGACAGGGGGCTTTATTTTTGTTTTTATTATTATTTTTTTTTTAAAGATGACTGGTAAGGAGATCTTAACCCTTGACTTGGTGGTGTCAGCACCACGTTCACCCAGTGAGCTAACCGGCCATCCCTATATGGGATCTGAACCCGGGGCCTTGGTGTTATCAGCACCGCACTCTCCCGAGTGAGCCACGGGCCGGCCCGTGACTGGGGGCTTTATAAGGAGAGGAAGAAACCATGTGAAAGGCACTCTTGCTTAGACCTCCCTGCATCACCAAGGGACTCTGTAGAGAGTCTCCACCAAGAAGGCCCTCATCTGATGCACACCTCAACCTTGACCTGCCCAGCCTGCAAAACTATAAGAAATAAATTTTTTCTTTAAAAATTATCCAGTTTTGGGCCGGCCCGGTGGCGCACTGCTACAGTGCGCCACTTGGGAAGCGCGGCGGCGCTCCCGCCAAGGGTTCGGACCCCACATACAGACCGGCCGCTCACTGGCTGAGCGAGGGGCGGGAGCAACACCGAGGGTTGCAATCCCGTAGCCGGTCCCGGTCCGGTACGGGCGCGACACTGAGGGTTGCAATCCGTTGCCGGTCACAAAAAAAGACAAAAAGGAAAAAAATAAAATAAATAAATAAAAATAAATAAAAATTATCCAGTTTCAAGTATTTTGTTATCAGTGACAGAACTTGGACTAATACAGGGTCTTATGACCTACAATCAGATAAGGGAGGTCAGAGAATTTCTTTATGGCCAGCTCCAAGACAGAAAGGAGAGGGAAAGATTATAGTCTTAGTCTTCATTGCTGGCTTTTGGGAAAAGGGTTTCTGGTTGCTATGATCCACCTTGGAGAAGAGGGATTTTAGTTTCTACGGCTTGCCTCAGGGAGAAAAAGGAGCAAGGTGAAAGGAGGGCAGGAGAAGGTCAGAGAGAAAGACTGTTCGGAATCCTGCTTCTGAGGCCTAAAATACCCCCCCAATATTTATAACAAAAGAACAAGGGCTATGGGAGTTATAGGCCAGGAACTGTGGATCAAAACCTATATATATATATATATATATATATTATATATTATATATTATATATTATATATTATATATTATATATATAACATATATATTATATATATGTTATATATCATAATATCAACTAGCCAATTGCTAGAGATAGTAAAGGGCTCACCTGTGAGCACACCTTTCATATGCAAACCAACCATTCTAGAGTCCACACCCCAGGCCACCTCCTTTATGGAGCTCTTACACTGAGCCACTATTCCCCTGCACTAATCACCCCAGACCAGGTACCAGACAACTCAGGACAGCCCCTATGCTCCAGAGCCTGCTGAAATGATTCAAACTAGCCAACCCTAGCCTTCTTACCCTGCCTCACCTGTTCTTTCCCACAGAAACCACAATAAAGGCTCTTACCAAATAAGAAATAACAAACAAAAGCTCTTGCCCATGGTCCCCCTCCTCTCCCTCTGTCTCCTAACCCACACTGGTGTTTTGTCCTGAGGCCCTGCACAGTGTAGAGTGGCTCCTTCTTTGGGGATCTGTGAGCACAGCAAACTATCTTTTCACTGGCAGTAGTGTCCTGATCTGTTGGCCCCACCGTACCTGAATAATAATGAAACCTACATTTTAAAACACTTTGCTATTAATGGCTTACCCTATGACCTTCTTCCCAGACTGCCTTTGGGCTGGAGTGCCTGGGAGTTTGTGTCCTTCCTCCCTCTCATGACCCATGGCCCATAACTGACCAGAGGTGGCGTAGTGGCAAATCTCTAAATATGGTCCCCAATGTCCATGCTCCCAATATTCATACATTTATGTAGTCCCTTCTCCCATATTCAGCCTGGGCTGGCCTGACTTGCATTAACCAGTAGAACACAGTTGAAGTGAAATTTTGTCAGTTCCAAGCCTAGTCTTTAAGAGACTGGCAGCTTCTGCTCCCTCCTCTTGAAATGCTTGCTCTTTGGGAGCCCTGAGCTACCAGTCACCCTGTTGGAGAGACCACACAGAGAGGGAGAGCACTGACACTACATTGAGAATGACAGAGGTCCAGATGTTCCTGCAGCCCAGCTGGGCCCAGTCTTCCAGTCATCCCCGCCAAGACAGAGCTCCCCACAGGATCAGGCTGAGGTTGGGACCTCTAGTACTCTTGCTGTCTTCTTCCCCTTTGCTGTCCCATTTCCCCCACTCCATTGCTGTTTTCTCCTGGGAGCACTTCTTTAATAAATCACTGGTACTTGAATCTTGTCTCAGACTCTTCTTCCAAGAGAAGCTGACCTCAGACCAACAATTTTTATTTTCTCACTTCCAACTAGAACCCAAGGACCAGGCTCCCCTTTTCTCCCTCTCCACGTTTCTCTGCCCCTCTCTTGCATCTAAAAAGCATAACCACCTTCCAGACTCCCCAGACAGCAGGCAGCCATCCAGCATGTGTTGAGGGGTGGGAGTGGGGGGAGATAAAAACATCGATGAGACCTCTGGAGGAAGCAGCAAGCAGTTTGTTTGCCCTGGCCAGCAGCAAATGAACTCCCCTCTCCCCAACCATACAACCACCGAAGGGGGATCATACGGAGGTCAGGCAGGCAAAGTTCAGGCATTTGGCATGTCAGCAGCAGTTCAGGGGCCAGGTTGGGATGGGGGTTGTCTCTGATCTTGTGTCTATCGTGGCAGGGGCTCTGCTGGTTGCTTTATCCCCTCTCTCAGGGAGTCTCTCTCAGTGACCTCTCCACCCCCACCAGTTCTCAGTGCCTGAAAAACCCCAGAATCCATCACCATCGATCCTCCAGCAGATCCCACAGCCGGGTGCCACTGGAGTCAGATAAGTCAGCAGAGAAGATGCTGGGGGCTGGGGGGCCAGAGTCCAGCGGAGGACTCCCACTCAGGGCCTCCAGCCAGTCCAAGGAGTCTGTGGGGCCCCTGGGAGAGAGGGATGGGGAGTTCGTAGGGGACGGGAGTGAAGAGGAGAAGACAGATGAAAGGCCTTCAGAGTCCGGGGAAGGGGACAGCACATCGAAGGATCCGGGGAAATCCAGGGGGATAGGGGGCAGCGGGTCTGCAGGAAAGGAATGGAACGTAAGCTTAGGAAGGCAGGGATCCAGCCCCAGGTCCCTATTCCTCATTTCCAGGAGTCCAGGTGCCCAGGCCAATCCTCCCTCGGACCCAGGAGTCCAGAACTTTAACCCCTTTTCCCACAAATCTTGGACTTCGGTTCTTACCATCAGGTTCCACCTGATCCTCCAGGATGTCATCGATGCCCCGATTCGGAAGCAACTGCAGATGGGCAGACGCAGGGTAAACCCGAGACTCCGGCCCGGAACCTGACCGGAGATCCCTAGCTCCGCTTCGACCCCACCTTCTCACCTGTGCCCTCCGGATCGCTTCCTGGAGCTCCTCCTCCAGAGTCAAGGCTGCTGAGGCCGGTGCTGAGGAAGGGATCAGGGCTGGAGCTGGAGCCGGAACCGGAGCCGCCACAAGGGTATCCACGGCACGCGGAAGAGGTGGCTTGTGAGACGATGGTCTCGGCTTGACCTAGAACCGCGCAGAGGGCAGTTCCTATGAGCCACGCCCACCGGGCGCAACCCCACCTCGCGATCCGCGACTCCACCCCATGGTCCTGTCCCGGCCCTTCGCTCGTCTACTCCTCCTTTGGCCTCGCCCCGTATTCTTTTTTATTATTTTCCGTCATTTTTTTTTTTTTTTTTTCTTTTCTCCTTTTTTTCGCCCCCTATTCTGTCACTGGCTCCTCCCTTAGGATTCTCCAGCAGTGGCTCTGAACCACGCCCCCTCGGCCCCAAGGCTTATCACGGCTGGGCCACGCCCCCCAAAGTTCATTGGCTACCCGTTTTTCGACTTCCCGCCCTTCCCGCTTTATCTTCTCTTCATTGGTCCACAGCCGCATAGCCCCGCCCTCACCACGCCCTGCCGCCGGGCGGTTCCCGGGGCCTTGGGTCTGAGGTAAGTCCAGGAAGCACCCTCCGCAGTATCCTCGCGCCTCGGCTTCAGCCGCTCACGGGGCGGGGCGCCGCCGCGCATGCGCTCCAGAAGCATCGACTTGGTCCCAGACACCGGGAGGCCCCGCAGGCGCAGCTGCTGCCGGAGCTCTGAAACCTGGGGCGGGGGGCGGCTAGAGGCGGTGCCCGGCGGGCTCCGAGAAACAGGCGGGGGACGGGGCAGGACATTTGGAAACTGAGAGGACGGACTGGGGATCCGGACTCCTGGGACCCTAAAAAGGATGGGACTGGGGACTCGGACTCCTGGATTTCCATGGGACAGAGGCTGTGGGGTTAGACTTTTGGGCCCCAACCAAAGGAGAGGACCAGCCTGGGAAATTACACCCTCAACTCACCGTCAGTTCCTCCAGTTTAAGGGTCTGAAGTTCCAACTTGTGTGGAGGGGGCGAGGGGCTGGTAACTCCTGGTGGGGAGGGAGTGAGGGGAGTGGGCTTCATCCTGGTGATTGTCGTGAGGAGGGGAGGACATACGTTAGAAGGAACAAAGGGGGGAGAAAAGGCATTCTGGGGTTCTCAAAGACAAGGGCTTGAGAAGATGCAGGAAAGTGAGGTCCCAGAATTCTGGGTCTCCGAGGACGCAAATGTGAGGCAAGATCTCTGTGCATGGAAGAGGAGGATCTGGGGGCTCAGACTCTTGAGTCTGAAGGGAGAGGGGCTGGAAGCCTGGACTCTTGAGTCCTGGAGGAGGAGGGGGCTTAGGATAGACTCCCCTAGTCTTGGACTCTGGGTTTGAGGGAGGAGGGTGCTGGGACCTGAATTTCTATGCCCCTGGAGAACAGAAACGGGGGTCATACCTAGTATGTAGTTGCTGTGAGTTTGTCCCTTCCCACACAGGTGGCCTGGGGGGACCCAGGGCAGATCCCTCGGCTTGGGGGCCAGCCCTGGACCCTTGTCTTGGCTCTGGGGGCATGTACTGGTGGTATGTCAAGTTTCCCCTGGGCTTGGTCTCCTTCCAATGTTGGGAGATCTTGGGAGACTCCTGAAAAAGCAGATATGATGTCCTTTGCTACAGCTCAGTTCCCACTTTCCTGCCCCAGAGGCTCATGAAAAGTATGGGGTCAGCTTGGCAGCACCAGAAAGAAGCAAAAGGGGCAGCAGCAGCGGCAATGAGGACCAAAGCTAGACTGTCAGGGGGACTTCCCCTCACTCTAGTCGAGACTCACCTTCTTCGGAGACCTCCAAGGGCAATATTCTGGCTCAGAGAGCAGGACCCCAGGGCTGAAGAGGAAAGGGGTCGGGCCCGAGGGTGAGGCTGGGGCCAGAGCTGGGGCTGAGATCCACGGATTGGGATCCAAGACTGGAGAGACATTGAAGGACCCTGAGAGTACTGCAGGCAGCAAGTCAGGCAGGAAAGAGCAAGGCTGTGTGGGAGGGAGGGCCCTAGAGGCCCAGGCGTCCCTCCTTCCCCCACCCACCCTGGATGGGGGAGGGCAGGCCCAGGAAGCAAAACCAAAGTGGTGGGAGCTGGGTGCCTGGACTCCTGGATCCAAGGACAGAGGTGCTGGGAGCTCAGATTTTTAGATTCTCTGTCACAAGGGATGTGGCTGCTGAGGATCACAGATTTCAGGGGGTTTTCTGGGACAGGGGTGGGGCCTGCACTCCTGGTTCTCGGGGAGAGAGAGAAGCTGAAAGCCACATCTTGAGACCCTTATCTGTGCCAAGTGTGGAGTCTGGGACGCCTGTCTTCTCCAAAGAAACAGGATCGGAATTCATGCATCTCGTTGGGGTGGGACAGCTGAAGAGCAGGAAGCAGAGCTCCTAGGGGAGGGGTGACCAGGGACCTGGACTCCTGGGTCCTTGGGAAAGGACAGGATGGGATTTCAGTGTATCCTGGGACACAGGGACTGAACTGCAGGAACCAGTGAGGGATATCTGGCCGCTGTACTCTAGGGTGTCCCAGGGAGTGAGGTCACCATCCCTTCCCTTTAGGGGCCCACACTTACTTGAGTCGTGATTCCGTCTGTGGATCCGAAGTTGGAGGACTGTGGAGGGAGGAGGGAGGTGGGAGGAGGAAGGCAGGAAGGGAGTGTCCAAGAGCCTGGCCTAGCAGGCGGTGGGAGCTGCAGTTGTTGGCGGGACACGAGTGCCCAGCCCCCTTACACACTCTGTGCAGGCGGGTGGGCGGGCAGCCTGCTCCCTTTCCTGGGCCTCCAGCCCACTCCCTGCCAGCACAGTGCTGCAGGCCAGAGCTGTTCTGGGGCTAGGAGCCAGGCAGCATGCAGGCAGAAGGCAGCCCTGCCCCGGGCTCCAACTGCCCCCTTCACAAGACTGTGCCCACCTCACCCAGGCACCCCAGCACAATCGCCATCTTGGCAGCCTGGCCCATTTACACCTTGCCTCCTTATATCCATGCACCCTGCTGTGCACATGGTCCTTTCTGTGCTATCTCTGGCCCTTCCCACAGTCACCCCCCCCCCCCTGCACTCCCACCCTTTAATCATGCATCTCTTTGGGCTCTAGTTTTGCACGCATGCCACTTTTGCACACTCTTCATCCTTGGCTCACTCTGCCTTGGCACCTACCCAGCCATGTTAACACTCTTATTTATACACTTAGGATTTGGGCCCCAGTTTTGAAGCAAGGAGGCCCTTCCCCCAGTCCCCCCCCCCCCCCTGCACTCCCACCCTTTAATCATGCATCTCTTTGGGCTCTAGTTTTGCACGCATGCCACTTTTGCACACTCTTCATCCTTGGCTCACTCTGCCTTGGCACCTACCCAGCCATGTTAACACTCTTATTTATACACTTAGGATTTGGGCCCCAGTTTTGAAGCAAGGACCTCCCTTTGCACATTTCTCCTCTTTTCTGTACATGTGCACCTTTCTGCACACTCTTTGCTCTTCATTTACTGGTGACTTTGCACCCACCCAACCACATAAGCACACTCATTTGTACACTCAAGGACCCTTTGCCTATTCAAGAATTGGCCACCAGTTTTACCCACTTGTACACTCTCCGCCCACCCTAGGACCTAAAACATGACCTGTGACACTTTCAAGCCTTGATTACTTATTGTCCCCTTACCTGCACTCCTACCAGGTCCTCCGAAGTCCCCACTCTGCTCTCTCCTCCGCTTTACATGTTAAGACCTTGTTCCTTTTGTAGTGTCTGACCCTCTGTACCCCTCCTCTCCCTTGCTCTTTTGAGCATTGGACCAGCCATTTGCATACTCATTGATCCACCACAACTCGACCCTTTTGCTGGGGTCTCCTTTATGCACAAGTGAGCTTTGCACAGAAAACATATCTCATGGGTCATACCTGCCCCCGCCCCACCCCAGAATAGAGCATTCCCAGGACCCCAGTACCTTTCCCCCCCACACACAGAAAGAAGCTTCTCACCAGATCGGAACTTGGAGCGAATGATTTGGGAGCGCAGGGTCATTGCCAAGGCCGGAATGGGGACCTGGACTGCGGGGAGGGCAAGGCCCCCACAGAGGGCAGGGCCAGAGTGGAGGTCAGGAGGTTGGCCCTGCATGTGAACTCAGCAGGGAAAGGGCATGAGGGAGTCAGGGATAGTAGTGGTCTTGGGCTATAACTTCTAGATGGGGGCGGTGAGGGGACTGGGGTCCTAGACACCTAGGTCTGAGGTAGGAAAGGGCCTGGATTCCTGAGTCTTAGGACGAGGGGCAGAGGGCCCCAACTCCCGGATCCTGGGAGAGGAAGGACCTGGAGCCCAGGATTCCTGGGTCAAAAGGAGGAAAGCATTGGGGGTCTGGACCCCTACATCTACAAAAGGGGAGGAAGGACTGGGGCCTGGACTCCTGAATCTCAAAGAAGAAAGAGGTTAAGGAACCGAACTCAGTACTGAGGAGACCAGAATCCGAGATCCTTGATTGAGAAGGTTAAGGGGGCCTGATAGGTCCCTACGGAATGGAAAGTACCATAAGACCTGCATTTGAGAGGAGTGAGTGGGTGTCAGTCACCAGGGTCTGTGGGGAAGGGGCTGGGACAGAGGAGTTAAGGTGGGTCCCCTCCATCCCCCCAGGGGCTTCTCACCAGGTTGGCTCAGCGAAGCTGTGCTCTGGGGAGGGTTGAGTCCCGCGGTGAAGGTTGGAGACTACAGCCTCCGCCCCACCAGCCTGAGACCGCCTCGGACCCCCTTTCTTGGGGCGTGCCGTGCCGGGAGCCGTGGAGCTGGGGCTGGGAGGAGACAGGAGCCCCGCCTGGGACTCTGAGAAGCGGTGGGAGCACGCGCTGCGATGGCCTGGGGCGGGGTGGACGTCGGGGCTCCCTGACTCGTTCCTCCTTCACGTCCTGGGGCCGTGGGGCCGGGTGGAGCAGCGGCAGGCGGACTGACGGAAGCAGGTGCTGGGAGAGGGGCGCCGGGTGAGCAGCGGCGGCAGGTGGTCAAGTCCCGGCCCTGCCGGCAGGTGCCACCTGTTGCCTGCTTTTTCCCTGACGCAGCAGCAGGAGTCGGGTTTAGGGGAGTGAAAAGTTCAAACTGGAGCCTGCACTCCTGGGTCTGAGGGAGGAGGGGCTGGGAACAGGGACAGAGGTGTTGGTATTCGGCGGTGTGCCCGAAAGACAGACAGATCCAGGGAAGGGCTGGGGACCCAGACTCATGCGTCTGAGGGAGAGGGGGCTGGCCTTTTGGGGTCAAGGGCGAGACGGCTGTTTCCGACTGGCAGGTATGAGGCCCCGATATTCGGCAGAGCAACCTGAGGGTTACATTCTGAGGCGCGTAGGTGGCCGCAGGGCTCCTGGGTTGGATTACACGCAAGAGGGCAAGCTGAGGCCATGGCTATAAATACCTCCTCAGGCTCGGCAGGGACCCCGTGCTCCGGCAAGGGCCCTGGCACCTTACTCCGCAGACAGTCATCATCACTACTGCCCCCGACTCTTAACAAGTGAGGCGTTGCCAATGTCACAGACACTTTTATTGCTCCTCGGCACTCACACCCAAGCCCATCTTCCCATCCTCCCATCCTCCGGCGTTCCACGCGGGAGCTCCCACAAAGCTCAGCGCTCAGCGGGCGGCCGCGACTAGGCGCCGAGAGATGCTCAAGGTCCGCGCACTCGTTTGCGGGGCGCTCTCAAGGAGGCGGAGCCACGGGGGGCCCGTGGCGGTGATTGGCCGGCAGCTCCTGCTGCTCAAGATCCCAGAGCAGGCGGCGGAGCCTGCGCAGTTCGCGGTGCAGGGCGTCGTCCGTCACCGGACCCGTGAGGCGCAGGCGCGAGCTGCCCAGCGGCAGGATGAGGGGAGGGTGGGAGGAGAAGCTTTCGAAGATGTCGCCTATGATGCCAGAGAAGACGAGGTTAGGTTCTGAAAATGGGCGTGAGGCACCTGTGTCTGGGGGCGCCGAAGTCGCGTCACGCCTGAAGGAAGGAAAAACTTCAACCCCAGCAACTCCTGGAGCAGGCTCCACCCAAACGCGATTCCTGGAGTTCCCGAGCTTAATGGGAATTGTAGTTCACCCTATAAAAAGCCACCGTTGCCTGGGAAACGGCGATGTAGTTGGGTTCCTAGATCCGTGAGGAAGGGCTGGGAACAGTCTTACGGATTCCTGAGGGTGGAGGAGCCCGGAGCCTGGACTCCTAGGTGAGGTGGGTAGAGGGTTGTGGAGGTTAGAGGCTGGGGGCTTGAGCCCCTGAGGAAAGAGAGCTGGGGGCTTGAACTCATGTATTCTGGGAGAAAAGGGGGCTGGGTCCAGCACTTAGGTCCTAGGGGAGGAGCCAGGGGCCCAGAATCCTGGGTTAGAAGGAGGCGGCTGGTGGGCCGGCCCGTGGCTCACTCGGTAGAGTGCGGTGCTGATAACACCAAGGCCACGGGTTCGGATCCTATATAGGGATGGCTGGTTTGCTCACTGGCTGAGCGTGGTGCTGACAACACCAAGTCAAGGGTTCAGATCCCCTTACCGGTCATCTTTTAAAAAAAAAAAAAAAGGAGGAGGCGGCTGGGGATAGGGACTCTAGGTCCTGAGGAAAGAAGAAAGCTGACAGCCCTAATGCTGGTATCCGCATTTCTCCTCACCTGTGTCCACAGCATCTCGCTCTGCAGGCGGAGGGTCCCAGGCGGGTGGCGGCCCATGGCCGGGACCCAGCTGGTAGTGGCTAAGAAGATGGTGGAGCTGAGCGGGGCTCAGTGTGGAGTGTTCAGTTCGTAGGCTGCTCCATGAAGCCTGATTGGAAGACCAGGTGAGAAGTCTGTGTTCATTATGGGGCAGCTGAGAAATCCTAAATGGAAGGACCTCCATAAAGGGAGTGGAGGTGGCAGGTAGATAGTGTGCAGTGTCTTCTGGGCACTGTGAAGCCTCTTTGTCACTGAAGTGATCGTGGGGACGGGCATGCGCTCAGTAATTTCTAAAAATGTGATTTGCTTCAGAATAAATGAGGATATAGGAAGTGGGTGGGGGCAGAGAAGAAACAAGATTAGCCATGAGTTTATATTATTGAAGCTGGTGATGTGTACATAGGGATTCATTATTCTATTGTGTCTACTTTTTGTATCTGTTTGACAGTTTCTCCACCTGACCTAGCTGGCATCAGAATCATCAGTGTGGTTAAAATCAGAGACTGGACCCACATTGCCTGGGTTCAAAATCCCACATAGGCTACTTTTTATACTCCGGCAAGTCACTGTGCCTCAGTTTCCTCATCTGTAAATTGGGAGAATAGGGACTATAGGGACTACTAATAGGGTTGCTATGAGGGTGTAATATGGCAAGATGTAAGGTACTTGGAACACTGCCTGGGGCTTGTGAAATGCACTTTAATAGTTTGATAAATAAAAATAAATAAATGAAATCAAGTCACCTATCCTACGTGATTTCTCAGTTTCCTCATCTGAAAAAATTGTCAATTAATAACCTACTTCATGGGGCTTTGTCATCAGTAACTAGAAGTGCTAAACACAGTGCCTGGCATGTTGTTTATGTTCAATGAATGTTTAACCATCACATTCCTTGGTCTCATAGCAGACTTCATGACTGAGCATGTCTAAGGGAGGGACCCTGGAAACTATTTTTAATAAGCTCCACTGGGATTCAGACACAGCCAGGTTTGGTCGTTGTTGGTGTGGCTTCCTTCTAGATGCCAGTGCATCACCCACAATGTCTTGAGTGGGGGCTGGGGATGGCTTGGGGTCCACAGGGAGCTCCAAGGGTGAGCTGAATAAAGGGGGTGGCTGAGAGGGGTTGGTGAGTTAGAGGTCAGGGGGTAGAGCTGACTAGGAATCACCTTGAGCAAGGAGGTGCGGGGCACGCAGAGCAGGTTCACAGCCATGGAGAGTTTCCGGAAGAACTCAGTGGCAATGTCGCCTAGCCCAGCCCCTTGCAGCCAGTCCGAGACAAGGTCCAGGTTTGTTCGGATTTGGACAGCTCGGGACCACTGATAGAAAGGTCGGCCTTGACCTGTAGGGGAAGGGTATGAAGGGCAATGGGTAGACCTTGTCCACCTGCCTCCCAGACCGTTCCCATCCTTCTGCTTGGGATCTGGAGCTCGTTCTCCAGAGTCTCCAAAGGTGAGGCCTGAGGCTGCGATGTGTCTGACTTGAAAGTTTCAGTGGCTCCTGTCTTTGCCTCCCTGCCCACTCCCAGCCCAACCCTCACCTCGTTCCATCAGTGAGTTGAGAAGGGATGCATTGGAGAAGAAGAACAAGTAGCCGAAAGTCTGAGACACGAGGTCCGGGTGCAGCTCGCACTGGCTAGTCAGTTCCAGGGCAGCCTGGAACACGCCCAGGGTAGGTCTCAATCCTGGAGGCATGGCCCCCAGCTCTGCGCCAGGCCCTGGCAACTCTGCCCCAGCTGTGAAAGGGTTACTATCCAGGAGAGCAGGCAGCGTTGAATACAGAGTCTGAGGAGATACAGTGGTGCAAATAAATGGTTAGACTACAATTCCCTGGAAGCTTCAAGGTGGTAGAGCATGAAGATAAAGGGGAACACCACCAAAGTCTTCTGGGTGTTGTAGTCCACTCTATATTCAGCTCCATGAGCAAACCCCAACTTTGTAGATGGGTTTCTAGCATTATGGGACTTGTAGTTCTCAGCAGAGACAGCTCAGGGAAGACAAAAGATACTGGACAAAGTATCTTTTCCCCTTCAGTGAAAGAATTATTTATCCAGAATTCCTGAAGGAAAGAAAAATAATGGAGAGTCAGGAAGTAGGAGTGGGATGGCAGTTAGCCAGTGGAAAGAGATAAGGTCAAGGACAGGAAATGAGGTCAGAGACAGAGAAGAAATAAAATCTCACTTGGCAGAGATGTACAGAAGTGAAGCCTTGGAGGAAAGGGCTTCATAATCAAGACTGCTCAAGGAACTAAGAGACTATCTGTCCTGAAAGATCCCCTCTCATTTTATAGATAGGGGATCAGGCCCATCATAAGCAAGAAACACTGAGAATTCCAAGAAGCAATATTAAAGTTAAGGGTGGTGGTAGGGAAATTAGGGCAGAAAGCAGTCCCTGCAGGAAGGGCACTCTGGGAGAAAAAGGTCTGTGGCTCAGAAAAGGTAGTGAACTCAGAACTATAGGAAGTGAGGACAGCAAACAAGCAAGTCAGGCCTGATTAAAGAAAACCTTGAGTTTAAATGACAGTGCTTGGCACTATATTACCTGTCTATCTACCTATCTGTATACATATATCTATCTATATACACATGTAAAACTCATCAGTGACTGAAGAGTAGATGTAAAAAATAGAAGTTTGAGAAAGTGGTAATGGTGATAAAACAGGTAGTGAGGTCAGCCTGTCAAAAGGTGATGACTACAAAGACAGGAAGAGAAGCCAGAAAGGTAGGAAGTGATGTAAGCTCAAACAGGAAGTGGTGTCACACCAGCAAAGTGCTAGGGTAAGATGGGAAGTGATATCAGAGAAGCAGAAAATCTTGAGTCAAATAGGAAGTGACATTAGAGCAATACAATGTAGTTTTTTTTTTTTTTCCTTTTTGTCTTATTTCGTGTCCGGCAACGGATCGCAACCCTCGGCGCTGCGCCCGCACCTCGCTCAGCCAGTGAGCGGGAACCGGTCTGTATGTGGGA